GGAGGGGGGAGCAGCCCCTCCCTCCTCTAAACAGAGACCGACAGAGAAAATACAGTGGAGAAACAAAGCAGGACGGTCGGCGTCAACCCCGGAGGCTACGCTCGGTGATGGTTAAGGGAAGTACAGGGTGTACCACTGGTTAGGCTCCCATAGTGAGGAAATGGCAGAATGGGACAAAACCAGGAAAATACTGGGCTCAAACTGAACAGAGCCAAGCACATACATGGTTAACTGGTATGTAACAAGGCTAATACTGAGTTCAACTGGGACTGAATCAAGCAAATTGTGGACTCTGTGGCAGAAGAGTGGCAAACCACACCAACAGAACCAGTATGATAAACTGGATAACTGGATTGTGATAAGGAGAAGTGAGGAAAGGTGAGTCTGTGGTGGGGACAGCATGGAGGTGCAGAAGGGGGAGTGTTCAGCCCTTACTGCTGTGAGGGAGCCAGGTGGGGGGGTGGTACTTGTCCCTGATTGGCTGGTACTTGTCTCTGATTGGCAGCAGGGCATTGCTGGAGGCAGAGCCGGGCTGAAGGGGTGGGGCCTGCCTGTCATCGTCATCTTCTCCTTCAGACAGCAGGTCACAGATCTGCTGCTGCAGCTCCAGACTGATGTCGTTCTCTGCCAGAACCAGAACCCGCAGGCTGGTCGGGTAGTTCTCCACCATGTCCAGGAATACCTGAACACAGAGACCAGCAGGTGTGAGCATCGACACCCTCATTCAAAACACTGAGCAAAATGTCATGTATACAGTATGGCACTGAAACACAGCTGCTGGTTCTGTTGTGAGTGATCTGGCTCTTTGAGTTTTCACCCGCTCTTAATGATCCCAGCATTTCATTTAGATATGACTACTGACCTTTGCATTACAGCAGTACAGGCTGAGAGAAATGGCCCACAAAACCAGAAGTAAGAGCTAAAAGACGCTGAAAATCTCCTCAGAGTTACAGAGTTGTAGTCGGAGAATCTTCAAACATCCTCCACCTCTGACTGATGCATCATTAACACAGAATCAGAGCAAAACAGGTCTGAGATGCTTCGGTCAAAGAGGAGGAGGAGTGAAGGTCTGCGGGTCAGAGCTCAAACCTCACTTCTAACTCTGTGAGGACCAAAAGCCCAGTGTGAAGCCCAGCAACATTTCATCTGTCACTCAAGCAACACTTACATTTCTCCAAAGCTGAGCACCCAGGACACACCTGTGGACGTCCACACAGGTGAAACACACACACAAACATCTGGTCATTATTTCCACACTGAACATTTGGAGCTCACTGATGAAAACATTAAGACCATGGAAATTTCTTCTGGAGCTTGGGAACATGCCAGTGGTAAAATATTCTAAACCTCAGGTTCACTTCTTGAAAAACAAATCAAAATCACATCAGTTCAAATATCAAATTAAAGTCAGATTCACCTTGAGCTCTACCTCAGTGTCTGGACTAACAGATCTGGTTTTAGGGTCTAGAATAGAATCAGGTTTAAAGTCAGAGTAAAGTAAAGATCTGGCCTGTAGTTTTAGGCCAGTGGATGTGGATTTGGAAACAGTGAGCATGTACAGTATGTGGTAGCAGTGTCAGAGGAAGTCCAGATCAACATCTCCCCCTGCTGGACAAAGAGAGGAGCAACTAACAGACTCAGAACACCTAAACTACCTCAGCGGTGATGATGAAGATGAGAAGAAGAGAAGAGACAATCGGTGTGACTGAGTGTACCTGTGCCGACTGGTTGGTGAGTCCTGTCCCCTCCAGGTCCAGCACTTCCAGGGTCCTGCTCGATGCCACAGCGACCGCCAACATCCCTGCTATCTGATCACCTAGAGACAAATTCAGAACAGTAAAAACCAGAAAACCAGACCAACCAGCTCTAGAGCATTAACTACCAGAGCTTATCAGTACCAGAACATTACAATCTAAAACCTTCTGACCAAGAACATTTGCAGAATTAGTCTTGTAGTCAAGACCACTTAAACCTAGCCCAAGTCAAGACGAAAACTGAGTTTATTGAGACCGAGACCGATACAAGACCAAGAGAAAGGGTTTAGACCGAGCCAAGACCAAGACCAGACCAGTGCAGTTAAACTGAATTAGACAGTTTGATAGTACTGGCTCACCTGTGTTTCAGTGACATGACACTGTATAGGAGTGAAGTTACTGAATGTTTTTCCCTACTTTTTTTTACCTTTGTAGAAGGCTCTGTCTGTTTGGTGTTGCACTTTGTAGATAGTCCCTGTGCACTGGTCTCACAGCGGTTGCACACTGAGACCAGGGTTACTAGTCCAGTGAGTGTGTATATGTGGGTAAAGCTCACTTGGATGAAAATTGGGTTGTAGCTTGTTCTTACGGTTGGAAAGAGACACCATTTGTGTTTTAGCAGTGTTTCGCTATGACTTATTGATCCAGGAACTTAGAATCTGTGAATATCATTGCAACTTTACCGTAGTCCAGCTTCCAAGGCTAATGCGACTTAATTCAATACATTAGCAACTTCGTTAGCCAGGTTAATGAATTCTTTAGCTGTAAAATAGGCAACATTTCTTTTATCTTCTCCTCTGTCATTATCCACTCTGGGTGTAGCTACCATCCCAACAGAGCAGAGGAATATCCAATCAGTTGTTTGATTAGCTTGACGATCAATCACATAAACATTAGTACAAACACTGACTGTTGATTAGCAGGTCATTGCTGTTGCTAACTACACTTCTGTCTGACATCAAGTCACCTCCATTTGTGTCAGCATAGAACTCTTGTCGTTGCCCCTAGGTGTTTGTATGCTAGGTAAAACCTTGGTACTGATGTTAACAAATGAAACAGACAATGCACAGGCACATTCCCCAAAGCTTGGGTCTTGACTAGTCTGGAAATAAAATCCTGAGTCTTCTTTGACCGAGTAAAAATGTGGTTGATTCCGAGACAAGATCAAGACCTTCAAAAAGTGGTCTTGAGACCAACACCGACCTTGAATACTACAATACTAGTATTAGTAGTTGTTACCCAGCAGGTTGTAGTCCAGGTTGAGCACCCGGAGCTGGGAGCTGTGAGCCACAGCGATGGCGAGTCGAGTCCAGCCTTTGGAGCTGATTCCTGGGTTAGCACTCAGAGTTAGCTCCCTCAGACCTACACAACCAAACACAGCACACCAGAACACACTGAAAACAGGACCGATCCACATCATGGCCCGGACCTCACAAACTGCTGTTTCATGTGTGATAATTTACATGCTGTGGTTTTTTTGGCAGGTGACCTCCAACCCCTTATTCTCATCCCAGTCAAAAGTCCATAACCTGGACTGGATGATTCCTGTTCTATATTTTAGGACAGTAACAACAGTCAGGTGGGTTTTAATCGAGTTTTTGATCTTGCGACTCCATGAGTCTCCTCTAGCGCCACCTTCAGGACAAATTTACATGCTCAGGGTGTGGATGTAATGAGCTCTGCGGTTGGGGTTTAATCGGCCTTTTAAACTAAGATCAGAAGTTCATTCTTGACCTCAGAAACAGCAGCTGACAAAACAATCACACCAAGGTCCATTTCTGTTCTGGAGCTCTCGATCATACCACACAATCTTTCTCTGAACATGTGGGGGGCGGCTGTGGCTCAAGAGGTAGAGTGGGTCATTTTCTAACCAGAGGATTAGCGGTTCGATTCCCAGCTTGTCCAGTCAACATATCGCAGTGTCCTTCAGCAAGACACTGAACAGTTGCTCCCGGTGATAACACCGGTGTGTGAATTTGTGAGTGTGAATGGCCAAGTAGTGTGAAAGTGCTTTGAGTGTGCTCCAATGCATAGAAAAGTGCTGTACAAGTAATAAGACCATTTACCGTTCAGATAACCTTGTTCAAACCTCCATTCTTCTGAGCCCTCATCCACCTTGGTTTAAAATGTGTCCCAGGTCAAGAATGAAACTCCATCTACTGATGAAGATCATGTGGCACGATCATAAGCTCCAGAACAATGACTTGCTGCACCTCGTGGTGAGACTGTTTTTGTGAACCAGTGTTTGTGCAGACTCAAGATTTCCTAAACTTTAGCTCAAAGTCTGACTTCCATCACCAGGATCTCAGCTCAAGAACAACTTCAGTCATAGTTGGGCCCCTGATTGACCCCAACTGTACATATCAGTTTCATTATTTCCCCAGAAACCTACCAGTACTCTAAAGCTGAAATTAGTTCATTAAACCATACCACCCTATTGATCCTGCTACTGGGTCCAGGCTGGATCTTCCATTTTAAGAAGGACAGGGTCCTGCTATTGGATCAGAACCACAACTTGTAGACCCAAATGATAGTAATCCTGGGGATCTGAGGCTCCTGGGCAGGTGCCCTCTTTACCTGCTTGGTGAAATAGCTTTCGTTGAGTGCAGTGGGATCTTTACGAGGACATCTGAGACCATTAAAAATGTAGAGGCTGCCATCATCTGTAACTACTCACATTACAACCTGGTCCTGGTTTTGTTGCACATCAAAACCTTTTCCAGGAAAACTCCATGATTTCCAGGTCTGAGAAGTCACATTTGTATTGTCTGTTAATGGAAGTTGTGAAAACAGGACTCTATCCTCGTTGTGTTAATGTGAGGATGAAGAGTTAAACCCTCCAGAGTCCTGCGGTGACAATGACATGTAGACATCTGAGCTGATGAATTCAGGTTATTGGCGCCTGAAATAGCAAAGTCCCAGGAGACACAACGTCCTCTGAGCTTTGTTGAACTACTGTGCACATCCTGCAAACTGTTCTGAGTTTCATCAGAGCTGCAGTCTGACTCACACACAGTTCTGCTTCTCATTTAATCAAATCTGATGTTTCTTTTAATAAACTGATCTATTCAGGGAGCTTCTGACAGCGCAGAGGAGGACTCTCAGTTTTTAGATTTTTCATGAGGAATAAATTAAACCAGAATCTGCATCAGGATCGGGTCTTCACTTCTGACTCATCTCTACAGTTCAGAGCTGAAACTCACCCACAGGTCTCAGAGTTAACTCTTGAAAATAATGGAGCAACTAAAAATGGAATTTCCTGTCTCACATCTGTCCTGAGATGATTATTGTTTCACAGTTGTGGTGACTGGTCAACAGAGTCACAGGTGTGTTCTAGTCAGTTGGTCGCTATGAAACGGGGTTGGTAGTGTCAGCGAGCTGCAACCATGTGATGTTAGCAGGTAGTTTCTGTAGAGCTTTTATTTATTTGTTCTACCAGGCTGCTAGGATGGACAGTTGCTAGGCTGTTCAGGGTGGTTCCCTTCATGTGACATAATGGTTTATATGTGGTTGCCAGATTATTGATCAGTGGTTGCTAGCTTGTATGTGGGGAATGTTTAGACCGGTGGACAGGTTGTTCCAGAGGGCTGCATTGCATTTACATTCTGCCGGTTTGAATCTTATTTAGAAGAGTAACATTACTCCCAAAAATGACCGAAGAATGATAGAGATTTTCTCAAGCTTTGCATTTTACTTTACAACCATTATCAAGAGCAGGCAAATAAACCATAACCAGAGAAAACTCAGAGAGTGTAAGCCTCCGCCAAGGCAGCTCACTGTCCCCATAGTGCTATTTCATCTACAAGCAATGTTCCATGATAGTTCTTATAATATGTCAACCTTGACCTTGACCAAAAAACCCTTCCCCCCCGGCATTTGGAATCTCACAGATAGCATTAGTAGTTCGAGGTGGTTTTTAGGATGTTACTTGCAGTGTTAAGTATTTTAGTGGCTGAACCAGGAGGTAACTCTGCTGTTACTAGGTGGTTTCCATGGTGTTGCAACACTTTTACATGTGAGGCCCCTGAGCTGGTAGGTTTTTACCACCTGTAGCTGACAGGAGAGATCGACCATGTCTATATTTGGAAGTCAAATCTAGACCAGATGTTGCCTGAGAGTTTTCAGGTGTGTTACCTGACTTTGCTCCATCGGGTGGCAGCATCCCACAGATCAGACTAAGAGCCTCGTCTCCAAGCATGCAGTCTCCCAGATCCAGACAGATCAGTGCCGGGTGGGTGGACAGGGCCGGGTTCAGGGTCACCAGGCCGTCATCCAGCAGAGGGCTGCCGTGGAGACTGGAGGAGGCAGGGACAGAGGCGTCATCAACCAGTCACATACTGTAGCACTTTGCATGGTGCCCAGAGGACCCGATGGGCCCGGTGACCTCCCTGAACTTTCCTGCAGGAAGGGGAGGTCACCGGAACCACTGGGATTCGTCAGTATGTTGTCTGGTTTGTCAGAACTTATATTAACAGATAATCAGAGAGATTTTAGTCCAAAACCCTCCTGTCTGCCAGTCCACTCACAACAGGGTCTGCAGGGATCGGTTCGTCTTCAGGGCATCAGCCAGGTGTCTTGTCCGGCTGATGCTGGAGACTACACCCAGGTTGAGGTTGAGCTGAGCGAGTGAGCATGACTCGGCGACGCTGCGGCAGATGCGTCCGAAGTCACGGTCAGAGACCTGGCAGCCGCGAACAGACAGCAGCCGGACGCTGTCCTCCTTCAGACTCTCACAGATGTCCTGAACCTCAGCTGCCGACAGCAGCTCCCCAGTGATCTGGATGGAGGCTGGCAGCATCTGGACAAGACTGGGAGCACGGGAACACCTGAACAAACAAGAAGAGTGACTGAACTGTTGGTTGCTAAAAGAGAAATGAACAAGTCTGACCACTACCGGTGGAGAAGAGACACTGAACTGCTATTGGCTGGTCTCTGGTGCCAGGTAATATACTGAACTGCTATTGGCTGGTCTCTGGTGCCAGGTGATATACTGAACTGCTATTGGCTGGTCTCTGGTGCCAGGTGATATACTGAACTGCCATTGGCTGGTCTCTGGTGCCAGGTGATATCACCTGGCAGCTGCTGTGTCTATAGCTCAGTCATCTCTCATAGGGAATTTTTCACACCCGAGTTTTTATAGAACTGGATTAAAATGTCTTGTCTCCTAAAATCTTTGAGTCAATTTGAAAAGAGCTTTAATTTTGGATTTAGAACTTTATTTTTTCTTTTAAACAGTGCAACTGTGTTTCATTCTGTATTGATCAGTTTATACCTAGGTAGATGTCACGAACACGTGAATGATTTTTCAAATGTTTCAGATACATTTTCTCTGATACAAACCTCATTTCACATCACGACATAGCAGCACTTGTATCTGAAATAAACAAAGGTCTAGAACAATATGCAGCATGGTTTAAATTGAACAAACTGTCGATATAAAAAACAATTTAATTTTTTTTAAAGGGCAACATCAAATTACATTTTCAAAGTGACAGTTTTATATGGCTCAGCAGGCAACTGAAAAGATAATATTACAAGGATCTTAGCTGTACTGACAAACTTAGATTTTGTAACTAACAAAACAAGGCTGTCTCCTTATTATTAGGAAGATTTCACACTTAAATCAGCCGTGTCTTCTCACAATGTATTATAATCTAATTTTTCTTATATTTCTGTGACATTACATGGGTGAGTACATATTCTACAGAACCTAAACTAACTGTTTATGGTGCAAAATACTTTCTTAGATGAACCACTTCTTCTCATTGTTAGAAATCATCAGCCTATCTTTTTGGTGCACTTGAACCTTTAAGTATTTTTATTAAAAATAAATTACAGATTTGTATGTTTGTCTATAACACTTTTTTTGACCACTTACCACTACCCACTACGACTTTTCATATTTTTTCAAACGAATTCAGATATTCATTCCCATTTTACTAGACAGACAGAACTGCTTCATCTTCCATTTCATTTTAGGCATCAAATTAAATTTACGTTAACATACTGACGACCTACCCCGTGGAATTCATAGCTACATCTGTAGTTAACTTTAAGAAACCAAGCAATATTAATGACTCAATTTACAAATTAAAATGCATTTAATATAAATGGGGTTCTTCATCTTATTTATTTTTTGAAGACTATGTATAGGGGGTTCCTGTTGTTATTTTGCTGTTGTTGTTTCTTTTGATTGTTTTTTCATCATTGAAATTGTTGTTTTTTTATTTACGGTAGGTAAAATTTTTTTTTTTTTTTTACAAAACTTAGTAGAGTTTTTTAAAATAATCTTTTAGCTTCTTATCTCTCCTGCACAAGTTAGTGTATATTGAAATTATTCCACAATATGAATTAATATAATGTGTGCAAATACATTCTAAACATCTCCCTGCACACACTGATTTATGCTTTTCCTTTCTTTGCCATCTGGATTGCATGAGTTGTTGATGCATTTACCTTGTTTATGGTAATTTTTATTATGTTTATTGCATTTTTATGTGTATTTCTTGTTATGTGTTGATGCATTTGTTTGATAATGCACTTTAAATTAACTGAAATTTAAATTAAAATAAATTGAGTGATTGATGTTAACACCTGAATTCCCATGAGCCTCAGCTCCACTATAATACTAACATGCTAACATTAGCATAGCAACATGCTAAACGGCTGTAGAGTAAGATTCGATTACCTGCTGATAAAAGATCAGTCAACTCTTGTTATAGAGAGAAAAACTAATTATAAACTAATAAGTTGGATGAAATCAATTATTGATCGTTTTTCTCTTTCTGATCACTAGCTCCAGAAGTCACGGTTCAGACTATCAAAACTGATCAGTTATGGATCAATTATTGATAGCTGATCATGTTTCTATAAGTCAGATTCAGGAGATGAACTCAGTGATATGTCTATATAAAAGCAGACACCAGAGCTAGTCAAATCAATAATTAATCTCTAGTACTGACTAGCAGGTTTCCACTGCTTTATCTAGAACTGATCAAGTCATCAATAATTAACTCGGGCTCTGATTGGTTTAGCAATAAGCAAGTCAGTTAACCTGATAAATGATCGATCAGCTCGTGCGGGGAGGATCGGGACTCTCACAGGGTGATGTCATCATTCACGGCAGGCCACGCGCCGGTTCTGATCCACCGCAGCAGACATCAGAGGCGATCGATCCAGTTACCGATTGATCGGGTATGATCAGCAGCAGAGAACGAGGGGTCAGTGTCTTGTGGCCGGACAGTGGGTCTGTCCGTCAGTTACTGTAAGCTCCGTGACTGCCGGTGTGTTTCTGCAGGTGACCGTTACTATGAGATACAGAGAGAGGAGAGGAAAGAGGTCTCACTCTGACCGGTTTACTGGAACTAAACACAGCGAGACTCCATGGTCAGTGCGCAGGTGGAATAATGCAGCCAAGTATAATAATTTACTTTTTTATTAATGCGTAATAACACAACATTATGATATATGACAATAACTTGCATTTGTTTAGGAAACATATAATCATCCAGTAATAATACATTTATAATAGCTTGATACAATATGCTGTAATATTTTTGTAGCCTAGCTAAATGGCCTAAGTGAATAAACTAAGTCATAGATTGACAAACATAAATATGATGATGCTATACAACACAATTGTCACGGTTTTATAAAGCAGAGTAGTAATCTGATTTAGCCTATAATGTAAGCTATTAAAATAATTGTATTTTATTCACTGTTATTTTTTTTTACATTGTAAATAGCCTATTTGTCACATAAGATTTGGCTGTGGAAATTTTTATCTATTTATTTCGTCAAACTACAAAATATGTATTTGAGGTTACACAAATAAAACATAATTAATTTATGGATATGTGTACAAGTGAGATGATGCGGAACCTTTGACGGACTGCTGTTTCCTGTGGTAAACCGTACTCATTTCCTGTTTCTGTATTTGCACTGCGTTGTGCTTGCTTACAGATTGTTTAGGAATTAAACTCACCATTTTCTAGGTTCATCTGAATTTTTGAGTGACAACATACGCTTGCACCACTTAAAGCACTTGTTTTGCAGAAGTTCTTGCTAACTACCAAATTTAACTTGCTACTTTAGGTCGGCTAGTTTAGAAGCTAGCTAAGCTAGTAGCTTAATCGAGAGCAATGGCTTCCCCCTCTTCCTCTCCTCCTTTCTCTTGCTCGGAGTGTCGCATGTTCAGTTATTCCTCTGCCTCCTTTAGCAATAATGGTACTTGTAATAAATGTCAGATGCTAGCAGCATTGGA